TAGGTAGATGGGGATCAGCTGAGAGTCAGCTGATGCAAGCTTGACTAACATGACCTGCCAGAACTAACGCTACGCTAGATTTTCAAATGAATTCTGGGCCTGAATGAAAACTAAGAAAAGAGTGAAAAATTGGATTAGAAATCAGTATCTACTGGTGTTTTATTTAGTGTTGTCAGCTGTCAATCATATTTGACCTCTGACTAGGGTGTGTGCAATGTTGAAAATATATATATATATATATATATTATATATATATATATATATAAATAAATAAATAAATAAATGTTTAGATTGTGTAAACAACAATGTTGCTAGACTCCTGAAGTTTTTCATATTCTAACTTCTCCATTAAAGTTAAAACAAACAATATTATGTCTAAAATGTAACTCAATGTTAACTTCTTGTTTGTTGAACTGTTGCATAAAATCAATATCACATTTGCTGATCATGCTGATGTTGAGGAAAAGAGCTCGCTTGCTCGTATGATATTGCTTAATTCTGTTATATGAGGCAAGTATAAAAAAGATATAAAAGGTCATACAGAATTTATACTCATATCTTGACATTTGTGGTCATTCTAACTTGCATTGCATAAGCTACTTCACTCAGTGAAAGTGCACGCGAGGAGTTTATCATACTATTGGAGAATTCACAGCAACCACAAACATCCAGCAGAAACTGTTTATCCACTGACCGATCAAACCAGATTTCTCTACAGATTCTGTGCAACACAAATGGGAAAAATACTGCAGGGTATGTTTTTAGAGTGTAATCATAATGTTTGCATGTTGTTACAATAAAATTCATCAATCGAATGTTAATGAGAAGTAACCTGTAAATGTAATTGTTCATTTGGAGAAATTTGCGTTTGTTTACCTGAGAGATTTGGGGTTTAGAAAATCTGATGAGAAATACTTCAGATTGTAGCAAGATCTCTGTTTTTTGATCACAGATTTGGGCAAATCTAGGCAAAACAACTCTTTTGAAACTCTAGTTGAAACATGAGTTTAGCTTTCTCTTTTATTCTGGAGAAAATGAAGAAGTGTAGAGGCCTGGATCAGTAACAAGGCTTAGAAAGAATTTCAGGTTCCATCGTCCCAAAATCAGTGGGTTTTTTCAATGGGTTAAATGGCTGAAAAACAGCTAACAGTCCATAGTTAACAAAAGCTCAAGATATTTTTATTCTACGTAGGGGTGTGTAATATGATTATTTTTGATGATGGACGAAAAAAAAATGTCTCCACAATCTGCGTTTGAAGAAATATCATAGTATCGTGCTATAGCGCACATTCTATCAGTTGCAGTTCTGGCGCCTCCAGCTCAATATAATGTACAATGTGACATTCACATCAAATGTTAACTCTGCAGGAGTTACACTGATGGGACACTGCACTTATTCCAATCACATAAGTACCTTTGCATGTGCTTTAATGCCTTGCCGGTTAAACGTTTCATTCACGTGCTGGTATGTGGGTTTTCTAAGCACGTACACTTGAAGTGTGCGCGCACACTGTCAAATAGTTATATTTTGCACTAATACTGTCAAGACTCAAAACACACAAGATTTAAATATAACCACAGCTGGTTATGTCTAAAATTAAAGTAAACTGTTGATAGAAAAATGGATGCGTGCCTGTATATTAGATGCATGCAGGTCTTAAAGGGACAGTCCTAAACATGCTGCCGATTGTCAATAAAGGGATAGTTCACCAAAAAATTTTATTTCGGTCATTATTTATTCCCAAACCTGTATTAAAGGGGTGGTTGATTGTGATTTCACTTTTTTTAACATTAGATAGTGTGTAATGTTGCTGTTTGAGCATAAACAATATCTGCAATGATTCACAAGTTTCAAAATCAATGCTCTAAAGCAGCGGTTCTTAAGCCTGTTCCTCAAGTCCCCTTGCTCTGCACACGCTCTGCATCTCTCTCTCTCTCATTCAGTTCATCAGCTCATCACAGCTCCAACAATGAACTTTTCCCATCATGGCTGGCCCATGGCCAATTTTGTTTTACGGAACTGGCTCCGTAAAGTGCCATCACTAGTAATACCATCACTAGTAATAAGAGTAATAAACGCAGACAATACTCGGTGACTTGAGCATCTTCTTCTTCTTCTAATGTTTATTGGCGGTTGGCAGACTAGCTTACTAGCCCGATAGCTCAGTTTGGCCGGACGGCCAGCTCTAGGAAGGGTTCTGGTCGTCCCAAACGTTTTCCTTTTAAGGATTATGGAGGCCACTGTGCTCTTAGGAACCTTAAGTGCAGCAGAAATTTTTTTGTAACCTTGGCCAGATCTGTGCCTTGCCACAATTCTGTCTCTGAGCTCTTCAGGCAGTTCCTTTGACCTCATGATTCTCATTTGCTCTGACATGCACTGTGAGCTGTAAGGTCTTATATAGACAGGTGTGTGGCTTTCCTAATCAAGTCCAAATCAAACACTCAAACACAGCTGGACTCAAATGAAGGTGTAGAACCATCTCAAGGATGATCAGAAGAAATGGACGGCACCATATATGAGTTTCTGTGTTTTTCTGTCAATATGGGGTGCTGTGTGTACATTAATGAGGAAAAAAAATTAACTTAAATGATTTTTAGCAAATGGCTGCAATATAACAAAGAGTGAAAAATTTAAGGGGGTCTGAATACTTTCCGTACCCACTGTATATATACACACTGCAGTATTTCAAGTGTGACATCTTGTCTGCAGTTAGACTGGCCTGATTGAATGCTCTTTAACGCAGCCAAAGAATCTGAACATATTACTGCTTTTTTTATTCTATTTTCCTCTACCTGCTGGAGAGCCATAACAATAGCTACCAACTCTGCTGTAAATACAGATAAAAAATCTACTTTTCTTAACTATTGCGGAATAACTACTGCCATTCCTGTTTTCATAGCTTCTGGATCTTTTGAACCATCTGTATCATATAATATTTCTGATCCATTTATTTATTAAGTCTTGTTTTTATTGGGTCACAATCCTGTTTCTTCACTTCATCTGTTAAATAAAGATCTACTATAGGCATTACAAACATACACGGTGGAACTGCTGACATGTACAGGACTTTATATTATAGTACTAGATTACTGAATTGTATTTTTTTTACAACTATCGAATCCACTATTTCCTGTCCAATATTCTTAATATTACTTTTTTCCATATTCCCAACTTTTTAAAAAATATTGCTTTAGTAGGGTGTTCATTGTTGTGCCCCATCAAAGATACCCAAAATACCATTTACAGTTGTTTACATCTTATTTCCAACAGCATGTCTCCCATTTCAACTTGCACGTAAGCTCTAGGGGAAGTTTTAAATGCCCCACAACATAATCTCAAAACCTGCGTCTGTACTGCATTTACTTTTTTTAGTAGAGACTTACTCACAGAACCATGAATCATACTACCATAATCTATTGCTGATCGAATGATAATAAAACATACATACATAATATATTTTTCAGAGAGAGAGAGACATATATATATATATATATATATATATATATATATATATATATATATATATATATATACCTAAGAGAACTTCTACTCGCACCCCAATCACTTTCTGCTAGACATCTCATAACATTCAGTGCCTTTTGGTGACTTGAGTAGGCTCTGGGTGGATGTTATATAGTGTGTGTAATAGCTTTCAGGTGAGCGTGTGATTGGTTACAGCTGTGTGCAATCAGTGCAATGAATGATGGGAAATGTAGTCCAGGGTGTGTAAGTGTGAGAGTCCATGTAGTGAGC